TTGCTTCCTGAGCAGCTGGCTGACCTCTGCCCTAACTCCACCTTCCTTCTTCCCATCATTCTCAGTTTGACTTTCCCCCCAACTTTCTGCCTAGCAACCAGCCTGACAGTTTTTTATTAACCAGTGAGAGTAATACATAGTCACAGTATACAGAAGGATTATTCCAGAGCAACTATATGCACTTTCATCAGATGCCTGTTGGGTGTAGCTCCTCAGTGAGATATGGAAGCCCTTTCCCCGTGTCTATGTGGCTCTCAGTAAAATACTCAGCAGACACAAATGATCTGATAGACACAGCATCAGGCTGGGAAGCGAATGCAAAAGCCAGGGGGTCTCTGTCTCAGGCTGGCTTTGAATTCCCGCAGTCATGGAGGAGGAGGCTCACTGTTGACTTATTCTATGTACTTTGGGACTCAGCATGTTGTTGATTACAGGATCTTGCAGCCTCAAGCCCACCTGAGAACTGGTTTTCCAACATCTTTCTAGAATCTTTGGGTCAAAATTGTTTTTCTAAATTGGCTACGGAGCCATATTCCAAAAGAATGGTTGGTTTGATTCACATATCTCAAAACTTGTCACTTGGTAGAAGATCGCTTTTGGGGTGTGTGTAGTAAGTTTATTTTTATCTTCTTATTTTTCCCTGTATAGCCCTGGCTGTTCTGGAACTCACTATGTAGTCACTCAGAGATCTTTCTGCCTACCTTCCAATATTTTATCATTTTAATCAGAAAACAAAACAAAGTAAATAAACAAACAAACAAACAAAAACCTCGGGAGGTTGGAATGGTGGCTCAGCAGTTAAGAGCACTGGTTGTTCTCAAAGACTCAGGATCAATCCCCAACACTCACAGGGTGTTTCAGAACTGTCTGTGAGTCCAGTTCCACAGCATGGGATGCTCTGCTATCTCTGTGGGCACTGCATGCACATGGTGCTTAGACACACACGGAGCAAAAACACTCAGACACATTAACATGAAACCACCTCAGAAACAACACACTGGCTATAACAAAATATGTGCACACAACATGAGCCCTAACGTTTTACAGTTCTCCTTCTCTGGGATTAATGGTGCACAGCACTGTGGTGTGTAAGTTGTGTAATGCAGGTCACTCTCAGCCATCTAGTGAGTTTGAGGCCAGCTTGAGCTAAGACTCTGAGAGGGAACACCTATCAAAGTCGGACTTACTTTACCAATGAAGGACTAGACAGGAAAACATGTTTACCATGTTAATAAGTTGCCACATTATATCATGTGGGTAAGTTACTTGGAGTGTTGGATAGCCTGGCAGTAAATATTCAGACTCTGGAACTATATGTCCTGGGTTCAAATCCTTACTTCATACCTCAGGACAGATATGTGACCTTGGAGAAGTTCTCCAGACCCCTGACTGCAGTGACCTCATTTACAGTTTCAGGACAGCACTCTCTACCTCCCGTGGGTGTGATGGGCACTGAGCTTTGAATGTGAGGTCCCTCAGAGCTGTTCCAATGAGCCTTCTGGTTCGTCTTTGGTATGCTGCGGAATCTTAAGGGTATCAGGTCTGGCTGGGAGAAGTGAGTCCCTAGGAGAGAGCAGTGGAAGGCTCTACTGGGACCCTGGCTCCTGTGTGTGCTCTGCTTCCCAGCACTCTTTTTCCATCATGGTGGGCTGAGACCCCAGAAACCAGGGACCAAAATAAGCTTGTAACCCTTTAAGTTATTTCTGTTGGGCTCTGTGGTCACAGTGACTTGAAGTCAGGACTAAAGGGAGGCACAGAGAAGGACACTGGCATCATAGTTACATTGATTCTCTAACATTTGTCTTCCTTCCTTCCCTCCCTCCCTCCCTCCCTCCCTCCTTCCTTTCTTCCTTCCTTCCTTCTTTCCTTCCTTTCTTTCTCTCTTCCTCCCTCTCTCCCTCTTTCTTCTCTCTCCTATCTATCTATCTACTATCTATCTATCTATCTATCTATCTATCTATCTATCTATCTATCTATCTATCTTGAAGCAGAGTTTCTCTGTGTTGTCCTGGCTGTCCTGGAGCTCACTACATAAACCAGGTTGGTTTCAGACTCTTAGAGATCGGCTGCCTCCCGAGTGCTTGGATTAAAGGTGTGCACCACCATGTCCAGCCTTTCTTTTCTTTTTCTACTGAGACAGGGTGTACCTCATTATGTAGCCAGGCTAGCCTAGGGCTAACAGTGTTCCTGCCTCTGCCTCCCAAGTGATCTGATTGCAGGTGTGTGCCACCATCTTTGCCAGGAGCCTTCTGCCCTAGGAAGGGCAGGTTTCCCCCAGGGTTTGGAGGCGAGGCATGTGAGGGAAGAGCATGGCTGAGGGCAGTGAGTTCACATCATGAGCACAATTTTGTGCTCCCAAGTCTGGGTCAGTATTCTCCAGGTGCGTCCTCCAAGGCCAAGTATTGAGGATGGGAGGATCTTGAGTTCCTATCCTCAGCCTCCATTCACTGCCGGCTGAGTCTCAGAGTGATGAGCAGGTTTGCTGGACTTCCAATTGATGACGGCTGCAAAGCTGTTTTTCTGTTTGTTTTTTTTATGCATGTGTGTGTGTGTGTGTGTGTGTGGTGCTCATGGAGTCCAGGAGAGGGCACTGGTTCTCTGGGAGCTGGAGCTACAGGCCATTTTGAGTTGCAGATGTGGGTGCTGGAAACCCAAGCCAGGCTGTCTAAAAGAGCAGGGAGCACTCTTAACTGCTGAGTCATGTCTCCAGCCCACTCAAGTGTGCTTTAATGCTCTTAACAATGCTGCTCAATGTCTCCAAGTCCTTTCTGTGGGAAATCCATTTCCAGTCGGTGGCTATCTGTCACGCTGTTACCTTTCTGAGACACGCCCTAAGGTAGCCCAGGCTGGCTTCCATCTCACTACATAATCAAGGATGACTTTGAATTGATGCTCCTGCCTCCACTTTCTAAGTACTGGGATTACAGGCGTGCACCACTGTGCCTGGTCTATGTGATGCTGGGGCTTGAACCTAGGGCTTTGTGCATGCTTGGAAAACTCTACAAAATGAATCATCCCAGGCCCTCCTAACGTAGGCTTTAGTCACTGAGGGTGGCTATGCCCCTGCCGATTACCCCTCCAGTACCTTCCCGCCATTGCACAAATCAGATTCTCTGAACATCATCAGCTGGGACTGACAAATCTGTGTCCCTGTGGGAACCCAGCTGAGTCACACATCCCTAGGCTTCAGAGTGATTTCTGAGGGCAGCACAGAACCTAGGCATGAGGCCATATGACTTCTCGAGTTTCTTTTGGGACAGGGGACCAAGCACAAATTATTTCATGTAAAGAGTGCTTGCCTTTTGTACAGGAGGCCATGGAGCCAGTGAAACAGCATAGATCACCAGGCCTGGTGTGCCAGCCGAAAGGGCTCCCGAACTGACAAACCACACCAGAACAGTACCTCAGCCCCTGAAACATCTCCAGTATCAGAACCTTCAATCACCCACTGAAGATACTCATGGTGCCCTGGAGAAAGGAGCCTTACTCTTTACAGATGAATTTGAGCTTACAGCAGGCCAGGGCATTTGCCAGAGGCCACCTGGGTGGTATGTAACAGATCCAGGACTTGGGTCTGGATCTACCCAGCTGGAGTTGGTATGTATTATTAGAACATCTAGTCTTCTCGTCTCCATCTCCCAGATGCTGGGATTATCCATAGTTCTTTAGATAGTGGTAGTACATGTGTTCATATTGAGGCCATAGGTCAGTACTGAGTGTTGCTCCATAGGACAACACTTAGTGTGTATTTTTCTTTAAAACTTATTAATTTACTTGGAGAGAGACAGTGTGTACTACACAAATGCTATGGCATGTATGTGGAGGTCAGGGGACAACTTGCCCGAGTTGGGTCCCTTCTACTACATGGGTCCTTGGGGATTGAACTAGGGGAACTCAGGTGCCTTTAGCTGTGGAGTCATCTCATTGGGCCCTATCTTGTTTTGTTTTCTAAAATATTTTACTTTTTAGGTATACGTGTGCTTTGCCTGCATATGTGTACATTGTCCGCAAAAGTCAGAAGGGGGCACCAGATCCCCTAGAACTAGAGTTACAGAGTTTGTGAGGTTATGGGAATCAAACCCAGGTCCTCTGCAAGCGCAGCCACGACCTTAGCTGCCAAGCCGTTTTTCCAGCTTTGTTTTTTCCGAAATGGTCCCTCACTGGCCTAAAATTTACCTTGCATGAAATTACTTGGCGCAAGTGAGAGGAAAACACAGAACACCCCAAAAAACCATTTAGGTATTTATTGGGGGGAAGGTGCACAGGCCTGGTGAGGTCGGTGTACAGAGAGGAGCTTGAACGTCCAGCTTTTAAGGGCTGTCTAGCGCATGCACATAGCAGGTGACGTGTTACGTCATATGCCGGAATTCACGCATGTGCCCCAAGGCTCATGTAGTTGAGTCAGATGTAGGTGATGCCACAATGCTGCACGTGGGTCATGCAGGGTCCTTTAAGATTCCCCAGGACTATTAGGCACTTCTGCCTGAGGGTTTGTCCACACGTGCGTGGCCCTAGAACCCGGAAGTGTCAGCCAGGCTAGGCTGTCTGGTCTGGGAGGTCCAAAGATCCTGTACGGCCTCCCCAGACTTGGGATTGCAAGCGTATGCCACAGTGCTTTACATGGTGATCCTGGAGACCAAACTCAGGTCCTCATGCTTCCTACTCTACTGACTGTTGTTGAGACAGGGTGTCAACGGGCTGACCTCAATGCAGTCAGAGACGACCCGGGACTTCTGTCTTCTTTCCACCTTCCCAGTGCTGGGATTAAAGACATGTGCCTGGTTTTATGCAGCACAGGAGACTGAACCCAGGGGTTTTATGTATGGTAGGCAAGCACTCTAGCAACGGGTTCAAATCCCTGGCCCTTGAGTGTGCCTATAACCAGGAGTGACACATTGCAGCCTTGGTATTACCCATGTGCTCTGGACCAGAGTCACGGAACATATGAGCATGTTAACTGAGAGTGAGGCCCCTATCTAGGAACCAGGTTAGAATTGGTAGCATCTGGAACCCCACTGATCTACACATAGTCATCTGAGAAGCTGGTGCGGGAGCAGAGGGATAGAGAACCACGTTTTGTTGATTGAACAAAGTTTTTCTGTTCAGGCTATGGTTGAGCAGCTGCATCTTCTCCTTGGGCCATATTTTTCTCTGAAAATGTTAGAATGTGTCAAGAAAAAAATTGAGTCCAATGACTTGGGTTAACTATGTACCATGTATCTCAATGGTTTGATGATTTTGAAATACCACTGCAAAAAGGTCTTACAGAGGCTCTCTGGAGGCTCTAACACAGGCTGGGCTGCGACGTGATGCTCTGATGGCACTGTGAATTAGCCAAGAGGAATTCTGGGCTGTCAGAAGGAAGCTCTTAGGATGAGTGGCTAAGACATAAAAGTGGCTTGCCCTCATGAGCTGGGTGAAGAAGCCGGCACAGTTCTACTGCTTGGGGACAATTATACATATTGGATGGTCTCCAGAGTGCTGGAGAACTGTTGCTCACTGGGTCTCCTCTCTGGTTCTTTTCTTTGTTTTTGAGACAGGGTCTCTCTATGTAGCCCTGGCTGTCTTGGAACTATGTAGAGAAGGCTGGTCTCAAATTCACATAGATCTGCCTGCCTCTGTCTCTCAAGTGCTGGGATTAAGAGTGTGTAGCGCCATGGAGGCCCTTTGTGGGGTCATCTTGAAGAACACTGTATTTTAGAGGGAGGGGCAGTGTGTGCTGGCTTATGTACTTGTTAATATGGATGTTACTGTGTACACAAGAATGTGAGGAGGCCAGAGGCTAATGCTGAGTGTCTTTCCTCTGTCGATCCCTCCTTTTAGTCTCTCACTGAACCTGAAGCTCACTGATTAGCTAGACTGGCTGGCCAATGAGCTTCCAGGGTTTGTCTGTCCTCTTCAATGCACTCTACCTAATTTTGCTATAAGGGCTTCCACAGAGCTTGGCGCTCACTTCGTCTTGGTTGGATGGCCAATGAGCTCCTGAGATCTGCCTGTCTTTGCCTGTCCACTCTCTTCTGTAGGGTTGTGCCTAGATTTTTTTTTTTTTTTTTTTACTCAAGCAGTCTTTAATGAAAACTGTATGAGACGCCCCTACTCCTGCATCTTCTCCATCGTTTCTTCCTTGTATTTGCCCTTCTCCTTTCCTACTTGTCGAGACTTGGCTTTCCTTTCCAGGATCTTCTTTCGGTCTTTGTCCAGCTTTAGCCTGGTGATCACCACCTTGCTGGGGTGGATGCCCACGTGGACAGTTGTGCCATTAGCCTTTTCCCGCTGCACCCGTTCAATGTAGATGACGTATTTCTTCCTGTACACTTGGACCACTTTGCCAATCTGCTGGCCTTTGTAGTGTCCCCGGACAACCTGAACTTCGTCATCCTTTCGAATGGGCATTGAGCGAACATTGTACTTCTGTCTCAGCTCTTTGGAAAGTGGGGAAGACATGATCTTCCTCCGAATGTGAGAAGGTGCATTGAAATGCCGTTTGCGGTTCTTGCTCCGGTCGGAAGTCACAAAAGGATTGAACTTCATTTTGGCGGCTGCGATCCAGCGATGGCCGCAAGAGGAAAGTTGTGCCTAGATTTTATGCCAGTGTGGGAAGCTGAACTCAGGTCAGTGCTACAAGCAGCCATTTCACCAGGCCAGACTTGAACTTTCACTCTCCTGCCTCAACCTCTTGAGTGCTGGCGCAGACCCCAGCCCCCGGCACAACTGATACCATGATGGAAGTACCATCCAGGCCTTGAGAAAGTACTAACCTTGCTTTCTGGTTTCTGTAGTTCTGCCTCTGGCTAACTGTTCTGGCTAACTGTTCTTGCTAACTGAGCTGCGTCAACCCAGGATGTGGGTAGAATGGCTCAGGACAGCAGTTATGTCCCAAACACTCAGTGTAGTCACCAGCTGGCTAATCAAGACCTTTCCTCCCCTGGTTTGGTTTTTCGAGACAGGGTTTCTCTGTAAAGCCCTGGTTGTTCTGGAATTTGCTCTGTAGATCAGGCTGACCTTGAACTCACAGAGATCTGCCTGCCTCTGCCTCCTGAGTGCTGGGATCAAAGGTTGCACCACCACACCTTTCTATTTAAGACTTTCTATTGGCCTGAACCTGTGTCTGAGTAGTCTTCTCTGGTGGGTACCTCTTAACACCGGTATTACAGCTATGTACTGCCAAGTCCATTTTATGTAGTGCTAGGGATGAATTCCAGGGGTCTGTGTATCTGCTAGACAAGTCTCCCACTAACTGAGCTAGATCTCAGCCCACCTCTATATAATTTCCAGTGGAACCCAGGATTTCACACATGCTGGGCAAGTGCCTAGTCCAACTAGCAGAGGAAGTGTGAAAAGTGGTGACATGGTCATGGCCCCACCCCCACAGGAAATAACCAGAGTGCAGCCTGACAGAACACTTGCTTACTTTGACCAAGTGGCTCGGGAGCACTTGGGAGCTGTGTGACAGGCATGAGACAGCCAAAGCTACCACACTCTGAGCAACAATATTTTGGGGCTATTGCTGCAGGTAGTGATGGATCCTAGGAAATCAGCTTGGTTCATGCAAGGGCCACTCTCTGTGTTTAAAATGACAGCATCTCAGTACACGAGGGTTTGTTTTTATTGGAAGCATATTAAGTGACAGTCAATAGGTCACGCCTTTCGGAGGTGGCTCATGCTGCTGGTTCCACTCTGATCTTCCAGAGCTCCTGCAACACAGAGATGACAGCGTCTGAGGACTCACAAAACAGAACCAGGGATGGGGGCCCCTTCCTGTCCTTGAGGCTCTGGCCTTTACATGGTGGCTGTGTAGACCAAGTCTAGAACTAGTTGAAGGGATACTGGTATGTCACATGGTCACAGGGACTGAAGGAATAGCAGCAAGTGGCCATAGTCTTGCCATTTTGGGGACCTTAACTACTGTGCTCTGCAGCTCCATTTCCTGAGAAGAAAGGAGGAGGCACGAGAAAGATGGGCCCTTCCCTCTGCCCCTGCTTTCCTCTCTCCTGAGAATGAGGCCTGATCTCCACACCCATAAGGCAAAGAGAACAAAAGATGCCGGATGGACTTCTGTGAATCCAGCTCCTGGTAATTTTCAGGGTAATTTTGAGTTTTGAAATTTACTCTAAGTGCTGGGTTTAAAAGCCGTAATAGCAGGTTCCTTGGCTAAAGATGGCGTCCCAGATCTGCCAGTTCCTGGCTGGTGCATTAACTGAGGCAGTGGACAAAAGGTGTGTGGTTACAACTGCAGGAGGATGATCAAGGGCCTGGTGTGAGCCTCCGTGACTGGCCAGAGAAGCAGCAGCAGCTCCACAGAGCAGATGCAGCCATTAATAAGATGGTTAACGCTGTCAGTTGACAGGATCTAGAATCACCTGGGGGACAAACCTCTGCGCATATCTGTGGTGGAGTTTCTGGACTGGGTTAGTTAAGGTAGGAAGACCCATCCTAAATGTGGGTGGCACTGTACCATGGGCTGGGGCCCTTGACTTAAAAAGGAGGAAGCCAGCTGAACACTGCATTCACCTCTCTGCTTTCTGACTGTGGGTGTACGTGACCAGCTGACTCACACTCCCGCGGTTATGACTTCCCTCAAATAGGGACCAAATCCAAGCCTCTCTTCCTGCCATGCTCTCATCAGGCACCACCTGGGCCTGCCTTTCCACCTGCAGAACTCCCAGAACCTTCCTCCGATTTACTGCTCCCCAAATGACCTTCTGCTTTGTTAGGGCTTGAATTTGGAATGTCTCCTACAGGATCTTGGGTGTGAATCCTTGGTCCCCACCTGGAGGCACTGGTCAGGAAGGGTGTGAAACCTTGAGGAGGAAGAGGAAGTGGGCAGGCTGGCCCCACTTCCTGTTCACTGTTTCCTAGCCTAGTTGTCCCTTACATGGTAGCTGAACCCTCTTGAAATGTGACCCAGGAGAAACCTTCCTCCTGATGATGCTTTGGTCATACACTTTACCTCAGCAAGGAGGAAAGTAACCGACGCCTGCCCTCTAGCTTCCTCTGGAGTCTTAGTTGCCTACAGAGAAAGAACATGAGAAGCCACAGAACTGCTCTGGCTGGGTGACTGCTGAGAATGGGCTGGCTCAGGGATCACAGACCATGTTAAACCTGCAGCCTCTCCTGGGAGACCATGGAAGGGACAGTCAAGCTGGCCCAGTGCTTGGTTACCCACCACCCTCATGGGGCTGCATCTACCAGCTGCCGGATGCGCTCGTAGATGAGCAGCTGCGGGAAGGAGGCTTCCACAGGCTCCACCATGAAGCGCAGTCTGCCATCAGCCAGCTTCTCCAGGGAGTCCAGAGAGGCACGGAAGTGATCGTAGGCTTCACATGTAACGTCCAAGTGTCTCAGTGTGAAGTTGAACCTGTGGATTGAGCAGCGGCAACACACTCATCACAAAAGGAAGGGCTCTGCTGCAGCCTCACAGCTTGCTTCCCACTTGGTGCCTGGCGAGTCTGGATTTAGTGTCTATTCTGCACCAGCCTTTGAGCAAATTCCTCCAGAGGAATTCCTGCATGGAAGCCAGGTTTTCTGGAAGGGCTATTGTCTCTACTCTCAGATGTGGCCATAGGGAGCTGAGGTCACCTGCCAAGACAACACCCTGGAAAGGCAGATACACATCTTGAATTGTTGCAAACAGATTCCAAGGCAGATTTGCTGGCTGGGTGTTGTGCGTATTATCTACGGGAAGGGCCAGTGAGAGGCTGTGGAACAGGGAATCTGTAAAATGATTTACCTTGAATCAAACTGTTCACCGTCTCCTTTTCTTTTTGCACGTGTATGCAGCAGTGTTTTTATGTTTGTGTGTGTTGTGTGTATATGTGTAAATGTGAAGGCCAGAGGCTGACATTTTTTTCTACCTTGTATGCTGAGACAAGGTCTCTCTCACTTGGCCCTGGGTTTGTGATCTGGAGGCCATCACACCTAGTTGGCACTTTCCTGAGTGCTGGGGATGCTCATCTTGTCTAGTAAGGGCTTCACATGTTAAGCTATCTCCACAACCCCTTCTTCTTTCCAAATTTTTTATTGTAAAAAATTTCAAACACCCAAATAAGCAAGAACTAGATAGGAAATTACTTTGAAGCCATCGGCCAGCTTCTGCCACCACCAACTCTTAGCCACCTTGTCTTTCCAGAATCTCAACCACCTTCCTCATCAACAAGCAAATAGCAGACATCCCAGCATTTCTCCAGCAAACACATCTGCACATATCTGGAAAAGATAACGATGCTTTCCTCAAAATAAAATTAATAACCTTTTTTTGTTGTTGTTATTTGTGTTTGTTTGAGACAGGGTATGGTATCATGGTAGCCCAGGTTTGCTATGTAGCCAAAGCTGGCCTTGAGTTCTGATCCTTCTGCAACCATCTCCCAAGTGCTGGGATTACAGCTGTGAGCCACTATGCCCAGGCACACAATAACTCTAAAATATCATTTACAGAACTCAGCTTTTCCTGCCTGCCCTAAGTCTCTTGTTCACAGTCTATGGAGGGAGGAACAAAGGATGGGCCCTTGCTTTTATGGGACACTGTGTGAAGGAGGAAGCCGGTGTTACTGGTGTGGAAGAGGCAGAGCTGAAACAGAGATATTCTGCAGAGGTCCTAGCAGAGGGCACAAAGACAATACGAGGGGACATGTGGCTTCCACAAAGAAATTCTTTCATTCCTATTTTTACTAACCGTTTCATTTTTTCTCATTTTTAAGTTTTATTGAAGACACAGGAACACAGAAAAACCAAGTGTAAGTGATACTAATAGCAGGTCTTGACAATAACGGCCTTAGTATGTGGAAATGACAGGAAGTGGGGCAAGTGGTAAGGGGCCTGGTTTCAGGCAGGTCCTCATCTGGCACTACCTCACTGTGGCTTGGAGACAGCACCCTAGCATCTCTCCATGTGAAAATGGGGTCATGCTGGCCGTGTCTGGCAGAAGTTTAGCACAGACTAAAGGAGGGATGATATGAGGGTGTGCCCAGCCCAGCCCCGCACACAGCGGGCACAGGTGCAGGGTGACATGAAGGTGTGCCCAGCCCAGCACACAGCGGGCACGGGTGCAGGGTGATATGAGGGTGTGCCTGACCCAGCACACAGCGGGCACAGGTGCAGGATGATATGAGGGTGTGCCCAGCCCCGCACACAGCGGGCACAGATACGGGGTGATATGAGGGTGTGCCCAGCCCCGCACACAGCGGGCACAGATATGGGGTGATATGAGGGTGTGCCCAGCCCCGCACACAGCGGGCACAGATATGGGGTGATATGAGGGTGTGTCCAGCCCCGCACACAGCGGGCACGGGTGCAGGGTGATATGAGGGTGTGCCCAGCCCCGCACACAGCGGGCACAGATACGGGGTGATATGAAGGTGTGCCCAGCCCAGCCCCGCACACAGCGGGCACAGATACGGGGTGATATGAAGGTGTGCCCAGCCCAGCACACAGCGGGCACGGGTGCAGGATGATATGAAGGTGTGCCCAGCCCCGCACACAGCGGGCACGGGTGCAGGGTGATATGAGGGTGTGCCCAGCCCAGCACACAGCGGGCACAGGTGCAGGAT